ACCATAGTGGGTACTAGATGGCCAGGAAGAGAAAACCCAACTCCTCACCATTTGTTTTCTCTTCTTTGTTCAGCTCCGCAGTCTTTCAACAGCCAGTGATATTCCTGGGAGCAGATGTTACACACCCCCCAGCAGGGGATGGAAAAAAACCTTCTATCACAGCAGTGAGTGATACTCTCCAACTTCCTCGTAAGGTTCTCCTCTTAGCTCTGAGCTCCCAAGACTACACATAATTTCCTTCCCTTAGCTCTGGTGCTTGACCCTTCATAAGATCTTTTCCTTTCAGCTGATCATCACCATTAACCACTCCCTTGGTATCTTCATAAAACTAACTATATGGTGTCTTTTTTTCTTTCTTTTTTCAGTGAGAGCAAATGAGAGTGTAGGCTGTGGCCAAAGACTTGACCCAGTCTCCATCACTCCTCTTTGTTCAAATTTATCTCTTTTTCCCCATGAAATACAGATATGGTGGTGACTCACATTTCTTCTCTGAAATCCCTTTTAAGAGAGTTACTCAGTTGCTGGAACTGTCCTCTTCCCCATCCCTATCCCCTTTCCACCTCATAGATGAGTTGTCTCTCTAATCCCTCTTCTGACTTCTCTGTTCCCTGTCCCCTAGGGGCTTCTGAATCGCTAGAGGGATCAGGCCTTCCTTCCCAATTCTCTTTCTTCAACCCTCTCATTTCTCTAGGCAGACTGAACTTAACTCAGTAAATGTAGAGAACCCTTACATTATGCTTATTTATCCCTATTTTCCTTGTGGCCATCCATCCTAGGCTCTGGCCACTGTCCCTTTTGAAAAGTATCTTCTGCTTGTGTGATAGAACAGAGATCGAAACTAGAGCTAACTGAATCCAAACCCCTACTCACTTCAATTGCATAGTTTTCTTGCTGAGAAACTTTTCCTCAAACCTGACAGTGTTGGGAGGGTAGGGAGGGTGTCTGGGGTCTGATCCTGCTTCATTGATTGTCAGGTGGTAGGCAGTATGGATGCCCACCCCAGCCGTTACTGTGCTACTGTGCGGGTGCAGCGACCTCGGCAGGAGATCATTGAAGATTTATCCTACATGGTGCGTGAGCTGCTCATCCAGTTCTACAAGTCCACCCGTTTCAAGCCTACCCGCATCATCTTCTACCGAGATGGGGTTCCTGAAGGCCAGCTTCCCCAGGTAGGGCCCACAGTAGATGAGGAAAACCTTCATATTAAGGCCAGAGGACCTAATAGTAGCAGAGAGTACATGATACATTTTCTAAGCTATTGGCACTTAGAGGTGCTACTTCTTGAGAACTTTGCTAAATAGAATATAGGCTTGGGAGCAGAAATCAAAAATGAGAGGTGGCATGTAAAAGCATCTATAGACCTTTTTTCTTCTAACAGAATGCCCTCAGTTTCTATTTACTAGTTGTTTCATGTTGAGGACTGATTATTTAGACCAGTGGTTCTCAAACTTTTTAGCATGCATTAAGATTATCAGCAGGGCTTGTTAAAACGGTTTGCAGGGTTTTATCCTTAGAATTTCTGATTTAGTGAGTTTAGGATGGAGCCCTAGAATTTGTATATCTGGCGAATTCCTAGGTAATACTGCTTGTCCAGAGGCCACACTTGAGAGAGCCACTGCTTTTGACCTTTCTTTATAATATTCTTCCTATTGTTTCTGCCTTCCAGGCCTTCATATTCTATTGTTTAGTATACTGAACTGGTCTCCTTGACTGTCATTTAATAATATAACTACCATTTATTGGGTACCTTTTATGTGCCATGAACTGTGCTAAGCACTTTATGTATGTTCTAGTTAATGCTTACAGTAGCCCTATGAAATAATAATTATTCCATTTGACAGATGAGAAATCTGAGGCTTAGAAATGTTAAATGATTTCTTCAGTGTCACCTAAGCTAATAAGTGGTAGAACTGGGATTTATATAAATTGGACTGATTCCAAAGTCTATGCTGTTAACCATTAGGCTCAATTTCCTTTAAGGCATCCAGTGTTTCCTAAAATACCAGATAAATTTATATCATATCTCTGTTCAGAAATGTCTAGTGGCTTCACATAGCCTTGAGTTAAAAGTCAAACTGCTTGGCAAAGCAATCAGCAGTTATTAAGTCCCTACTAGGTTTTCTATGCTTTTATTAATTATCTGTTTTAGTCTTCACAACAGCTTTGTGAGGCTGTTCGTAACTTCATAGTAACTTAGTAGATGTGTAGAAGATGAAATTTACAGGGTTTAAGTAATTTGCTCAGGGAATACAACCTGATAAAACCTGAGTTTAACTCTAGTTCTAATCGATTACAAGTCTATCCACTTCTACCATACAGTTTAACTCTCTGTATCTGATAGCTAAGGCCACAAGGTAACTATTACCTATGGTTATTTACCTGTGTCTTCATCTTTAGCCATTTCATTATAATCCTGCTTTTTTGTGGGATTAAATTCATCTACTCCCTCTGTACCCATCCCTGCATTGTGTCTGCTCTTTGCTGTTTCCAACTTTGTCTGCTCTTGGAGCTCACAGAGGAACTCTCATTATCTTTCTGATTCTGAAGTTGAGCTTATTTTGGGCTTTGTGATTTTAGTGATTTTTCTGTGAACCTTGGTTCTGTGTCTAATTTGGGGTCTATTTATGCATAGGAACCAGGTGAGTGCTCTCTGCTGATGCCAAGCCTCCCAGCCAAGGTTTTATAGGAACCTATTAGGTAAACTGCATATAAGGCTGCTATTGGCAGAAAGGGCCCATCAGCACTAGTGGTTTGGTGTCATCTAATAAAGGAGACTGAGCAAAAAGCCATGTTACAAGTGGCAACCCCTTAGTTCAGAAAGTGTGTGAATTCATGAGTAGCTGTAGCTCTGTCTCCTTCTTCACCCTGTGCCTAGATCCTCCACTATGAGCTGCTCGCCATTCGTGATGCCTGCATCAAACTGGAAAAGGACTACCAGCCTGGGATCACTTATATTGTGGTGCAGAAACGCCATCACACCCGCCTTTTTTGTGCTGACAAGAATGAGCGAGTGAGTGAGGGATTGAGGAAGCCACCTGTACCTTCGTCCTGTCTTCCTTCTCTTAATATGGAAGAAGCCCTTGAGATAATATCTGGGGACTTTGTCCTTGCCTATTTATCCTCTCTGGCTCCTTTCTTCCCTCTAGCTCTTGTCCTTCCTCTACCACCTCGTTCCCTTTGTTTCTCCCTTCTCCCCCTCCTTCCCTTATACTTCCTCTCCCTCCTCCTAGCTCCCTGGCTTATAGACCCCATATATAGACCAGCTCCCAGAGAAGGGAAAGGGAACTACCATTTATTGAACTTCTACTATGTGCCAGACACTGTACAAGGCGTCTTCCTCACAGCAGCCCTGTGAGGTAGGTACTATTATTATCTCTAGTTTAACCTCAGAAAGGTTAAATGACTTGCTAAGATCACACAGCTAATAAATGAAGAAACCAGCACTTAAACACAGGTTGTGTGACTTTAGAAGCCATTTCAAGGCCCAATACCCTCTGGGAACAGCAACTTTTGCTTGATTCTTGGGATTCTGGTGGAGTCAGAGTAGAATTGAGTTTTGGGGCCCTAGTTAGGGCCAGACTGATTTGGGGATCTTGGTTGTCTTTGTCTCTACACAGATTGGGAAGAGTGGTAACATCCCAGCTGGGACTACTGTGGACACCAACATCACCCACCCATTTGAGTTTGACTTCTATCTGTGCAGCCATGCAGGCATCCAGGTAGCTGGGTTATGACCTGGGGTTTCCAATGGGTCAAAATTAGTTGATTTTTACCATGCCTCCAGAATATATCAGTCATTACTGAGTGGTTTTCAAATGAAGATTGTCTTGAACAGAAGTGCACTTTGAACATCTTAGGCAGGTTGCCCATCAGAAAGATGCTTTATGACATAGGTGACTTTGTGCTTGCCTTTTCATGGGTGGGTCTTCCAACCTAGCCATACGCTTAACGGTGATCCTGTTCCTTATCAGCTGACCCCTCTGTCCAGTCTAGAGCCCCTCACCTTCCTATCTTCCCAGGGCACCAGCCGACCATCCCATTACTATGTCCTTTGGGATGACAACCGTTTCACAGCGGATGAGCTCCAGATCTTGACGTACCAGCTGTGCCACACTTATGTACGATGCACACGCTCCGTCTCTATCCCAGCACCTGCCTACTATGCCCGCCTGGTGGCTTTTCGAGCACGATACCACCTAGTGGACAAGGAGCACGACAGGTGAGTCCTGAGATCAGGCTGGCTTCCTTTTTGCTTCAGCCTCTGGTACTGGACCCTCCCAACTTTTCTTGGATAGAAGGAAATGGGTGTTGTTCAACTTGGTGTCCCTGGGTTCATCTACCCAAATCTGGGTTGGGTTTGTTTTCTTAAATTTGTATGGGAATTGGCACCCTAGGGATGGGGGAAGTGATTAGCAGCAGCTCAGTTCACCAGGAAGGACTTCTTTCATTTTTCCTTTTCAGTGGAGAGGGAAGCCACATATCGGGGCAGAGCAATGGGCGGGACCCCCAGGCCCTGGCCAAAGCCGTGCAGGTTCACCAGGATACTCTGCGCACCATGTACTTCGCTTGAAGGCAGAACGCTGTTACCTCACTGGATAGAAGAAAGTTTTCCAAGCCCCAAGAGCTGTGCCGCCCAAATCCAGAGGAAGCAGGGAAGAGGGAGGTAGAGTAGGAAGGAGTGCAGAAGGCCTTCTACAGAGGGGGCGAAAGGGCGGGGAACAGGGCCAGTAAGCCAGATCACCAGCCAGAAATCTGATATCCACCTCATGCCCCCGCATCCCTCACCCCATCTTGTCACATCTGGCCCTGACCCCACTGGACCAAGAGGGGCAGCACTGGTGCCCACCATACACACAGGTGTCTCATGTGACTCACAGTGCTAAAGACTCATGCCTGACAGCCTGATAAGGTCGGCTCTGCAGCCCTTCGGACGAAAGCTGGTAGGTTTGGGTTTGATATTTTAGATGGGAAAGTGAGGGGCTTGAGAAAGTGGGTGGGAAGAGGGAAGGATTTTTTAGGAGCCTTAATCAGAAAAGGTCTAGATTTGTTTAAGAAAAACGAAACCAGACCCAGATCAATATTTTAGGATAGAAGGTGTTTTAATGGGTTGAGAATCCAGTTTTAGGAAGATTTTTAATGCCAATGGTTTTGGTTGCTCCTCCCCTCACTGCCACCCCCCTTTCCTGTATTGCGCTCTCTCCACCTTTTCTACCCTACCTTACACCTCCTCCCTGACAGACATCCAGCCCCTAATAAGACTTAAAGGCACTATGGCACTTAGCTCTGAAGTGACACGACCCTGTCTTCCTTCCACCCTGCTGGTGGGTAACCAGTGCCTTCCCTGTAACGGTAATGCTGCAGAACTGCAACCTTTTGTACCTTTCTTTGGGGGGATGGGGTGGGGGTGGGAGAGGAGGTAGGTGGGGAAGAAAGACCCTAACCCAACAAGCCTCCAGCCAGAGCGCCAGCTATTTTGCATTTGAAGGAATTAACTTCCATATTCATCGAGCTTTTTAAAAGATTACAACCTCAAGATGGTTAAAATCCATTGACATTTGCACTTTCAGACCTGACAAGTCTCGGAGCTGCTGAGATAACTGGCCTCTGGCCTTTCTACTTATGCCTCCTTTCCTTCCTGTCCCCTCCACCTTCCCACCTGCCTGGGTCTAGAGTTACTTTCATAGCTTTTCTCACTCTTGGCTTCTTTTTTCCCCTGATAGTCAAGTCTCTTTAAGTTTCAATATTTCTTAACTGGGGTGTCTTATAACAAACAATCCTTAAGTCTAAAATAAGAAAACAAGAGCAAAAACTAAATGTTATTTTTATACCATAACTTGAGTCTATTGCCAAAATCTGGAAATCCCTCCCATGCCCTACAAGTTTACATCCCAGAAACATTGAGCCATTAGAAGGAATTATGTACCTGACTTGTTCATTGGCCTGGCTAAGTAAGGGGTGGTTATCTCCCTAAGGTGGGGCTCGGGCTCCATCCTTTCTCTGTGCAGAAAATACCTTTTTCTTGCTACAGGATCCCTTCTCTGCACTGCCCTGCACCCTTTCCTGCAAGTGCATCTTCCCTTCCTTTGGACTGTCCTCTGATACTTTGGCTCATCCCAGATTCCAGTGTGTCCTGTGAACAGACTGGGGGATTTTGCTGCTCCCTATTGCTTCTGTTTACACAAATGAATTTTTCCCAGTTTCCCACTAGGGCATGTGAGTGGGTGGCATGGGCTTTGTTTTTTGTTTTGTTTTTTTGTTTGTTTCGTTTGTTTTTGTCTCTTTGGATAGAGATGGGGTTTGGTTGTCTTACAGAACCGGAAAAGTAGGGGGGGGTCTATCTTGGTGTCTCCTGGCCTTGAGGCAAGGCCCCCTCTTTCCTTGACTGTTCATTTTCTCCTGTCCCACGGGATGAGAACTTGCAGCTTCAGTGTGGAAATTCCTCTTTTTGAGGCACCTGGGCTTGGGTTTGCCCCAGTCTGGTGATGAAGCCATGACACTTTAGACCTAGCTCAGGCTTGGAGGCCAGCCAGAGGAAGGCCGGTTTAAATCCGGACCTGTGTAGTTAGAGCTATTATTTCCCCTCCCCAGCAGCCCTTGTACAGACCCAGATTTGCTATGCAAAAGTCTCTCCCAGGTTCTGTTCTGGTTGGCTACTTTGTTCAGCGACTTCACAAAACGTAGCACAAACATTGATTATGGAGGAAGGCATCAGGACTGTTGAGTAACTCCTCTTTTGCTTCTCTCCTCTGGTTACAGCATGGGATGCCCCATGGGCACAGCCCAGCTGAATGCCAGAATGGAGAACTCTGGGAGGAGGCATCTCACTGGAGAGCCTACATTCCTTACACAAGTGCCTAAAGAGAGTGATGCCAACACTCCATCTGCCCTGTCCATCGCCTTCATATACTGTCTACTTCGTGTTCAGTCACCCTTAGGAGAGGGGAGCTCTCTTGGGACGGTGGGCTCTGCATGTTCTCTTCTTGGGTGCATTTGGGGCTGGGATCAGGGCACTATTCCTGGAGGTCCAGTCATTCACCAGCATTTGCAAATATCCATAGGGAGTTAGTTAGTGGTAGCCACCTACCCTCAGCAACAAGTTTGTATTCTCTTCTTTTTCTCTTTGCCTCACTTTCTCTAGTCGGGTTTGGAGCTGGGGCTTGAAATGCATTTTTCTTTTTTAGCCCCTTGGCATTGCACATGCCATTCAAGAAATAAAGTAAGAGAAGCAGCTTGGGCGATGGCAAGAAAATAACTTCTTGCTCTGATTTTTTTTTTTTTTTAAATCTTTGAGACTTGAAAAATACCCTTGATCTTGAGGATTATTCTTATTTGAAAAGTGGTGCATGCAGATTGGGAATTGGTGTTGGCAACGAGCTTTGGCTTTCTTAGATTTAGTTTAAGTGGTGCTTCTCACTCAAGTTCTGAGGAAGCGCTGAGATGACCCTAGCCTAGCCTCATCATCTTATACAGGTCTCTTGCTTCCTTTGCTCCACTTTTTGCCTTGCTTTTTCTCTTCTCTCTTTCTCTGGCTTGTTTTTCTTTTTTTTTCCTCTTCTCTTCTCTTTATTTACTCAGCTTGCTTGCTGATCTGCCTGCCTGTCTGCCTATGTAATGATGAATTCTCTGCATGGCTGTGATGATCCCACTGTTAGCTGGCAAGATCAGGCTTAGCTCTTTGGCTGCAGAAGACCAAGAACCTGTTCCCCAAGCCCAGTAGTATCCTCTTTGGGTTGGATTGCCCTCAAGCTTACACTAGGGCAGAGCAGCAGGCCTGCCCAACTGTCATGAAATCAGGGGGCTTATGGCAATTTCCATACCTGTCCACTCCTTGGAGTTGGTTTCTCTCGTTGCTTTTTCTAGATTTCTACCTGGGGCTTCTCTTTCCTGAGGATCTGCTAGGGTTGAGCTACTTGAGTATTCAGGATTGGACAGTTAGGGGATAGACATGGTGGAAGAAGAGAGTGATGGGAAGTAAATGGAGAGAATTTGGATAAAAGATGGGAAAGGAGAGCTCTCCTTCTTGATCATTTTTCCAGTTCAGCTTGACCCATTGGGGGTTGAGGTGCTACTGCTGGCCTTTGGGGATAAGCCCGGGGCTCTTGTTGCAGGGAATTTAGGCTTAGAATAATGCTTGAGAAGAAGATACCTAAAGGCGTGAGACCTCCCTAAAAAGCTCTTGGTTCCTACCTACTAGATAGCTCTTCTTTGGCAAAGCAACAATGTTCTTGGGGGTTTTCTTTTTCTTGTCCAGAATTTTGTAAATGTGACTAGCACTCAAGCTGGGCAGCCAAGGGGACATTGACTTAGCTGGCCCATGGAATATCTGCAAGGCCCGTAGGACAGTGTTTTAGACCTGGTGTCATATGTAACAAGTACGGAAGTTCCTTTCCCTTCAGGGTAGAATGTCATCTCAAACTAGCCAAAATGCAGTTTTGGAAACTACATTGGGGAAAACTATTTTTATTTATATTACTGGGCCTAGGTCAATCCAGGATGGTAGCTGGACTACCTTCCTTGAAGTCTGATTGTGGCAGGGATATGCAGGGCACTCTTTTCTGTTTAGCCTTTGAAA